GCCGATAAGTCAAGGCAGTCACCACCTGAAAGAAAACGGAATTCCAGCCGATCGGCGTCTGCACCAAAGGCATCCGGCGATGACGTGGCCACGAACCTGATCTCGAAGTGGCACAAGGGGTAGTCCAGGGCAGCGTAGATCCGCCCTCACGAGATGGCAATGAGCCACCACCCCTGGAACACGGTCAGAACTACCGATGGGATGAAAACGGTCTCGCTCAAAATCGAGTGAGTTGCATCGGCGATATGCAATACTTGAGCGGACATATCCCTATCTGAGCGATAGCCCTGAGTTCCAGGTGTACAAGCACCTGGCCTTCCTTCCACCATAATTTTCACGTCTACCCAGGTCGGGCTGTTCTCGGTCATCGAGTCATCGGGGGCCATCGAAACGGCTGAAAAGCCGCATGGCTGAGCACCGAGCCTGATAAGGCATCCCATCTTGCGCAGGGCACACTCGAGTATGAGGTGGCGGAGCCGCAAATGAAGACCTTCATGCTATCCAAAATCTTGATCATGAAGATGTTGACATGATAGCCAGTTGAAGGTGATCTCACCAAGGAGCAGGTAGGCTTGGTGTTCACGTAGGAGAGCGCATTGGTGAGGATCTCATCTACGAGCCAGCTCTGGTAATTACGTGCTTTGCACCCTGCGATCACGATTGTCGATGATCCGAATTGAGCGCTCGCCCTCACCAGAGCCAATCTGCGAGATATGCTCAGGCAGCTGTGTGTTCAATGGGTTGTGAACCAGTTTGCCAGGAGTGAGCTGTCCCCAACGACCGGCGCTTCGGCCTCTGCGAGCTGCTTGTTCCTGTTGGCGACGATGCCCTCTGGATGCAGGTGTCTCATTGGCATGGGAGACAAAACTCTGAGCAGCTTGAGCCACAGGTGGTGAGGCAGCTGCTGCCTTCGGGAACTGTGAAGGCTGAGCAGGTGGCGGTGGAGGAGGCGGCACGCTTTGAGATGGACTGTTGGCATTGCGGAGCTGGTTGACTGATTAGCCTGGCCAGCTTCTTCATCGACTAGTGTCCACGAGCTCACTGAGGACGAGTCGTCCCACCTCATAGAGGGATTGAGCAACTGCCTTTGTAAGGCTGCTGGAGGCGCTTTTCTGAGCACAGGAGGCATGGCCTTGGCAGGAGCTGCTTTGCCTTGATCCGCGATTGGTCGAACGATCCCAGGCCCTTAGTCCTGAAGAAGAGCTTCAATGCCTGGCGATCGTTTGATCGGTCTAGCCAAAATGGCATAGGCGAAAACAAGTTTTCGATCGAATGTTCGATAGAACTGAAAGTAAAAAGGTGACTGAACAGTTGCACTGATAGTGGCCTCCAAGTTCCTACCTACCAACCGAAAACTTGGAACCGACATCCTAGATATATAATACGATATGAAGCATATGTATAAACAAACATAGTATTGAAAATGATACCAGCACAAACCACACACCATTTCCCAGAGGGAATGTCTTTCAGGCCAAGGTGTGTGATATCAGCCAAAAGGGCTTGAGCCCCACTGGACAAATCTTTGAACTATGCCAAAAAAACTTTTGAACAGGCTAGTGGGCTGGCGTGTTTTGGGTTCGGTCCAAGACTATGTTTTTCGGATGGCCACCAATCCGTAGCATCAGGAAAATGCGCAGAGTCCCTCCAAAGATAGCCACCAAAGTTCCACAAGTATTGTATAAATATTACAGTACGTATGTTGAAACGTGGTAATTTACTGTCGGTGGCTTTCCAATGGATTTCCAACTGATCGTGCCCAATGACTCTTTCAGGATCCAAGGTTTTTTGACGACGATTGAATCTCGGATGGTGGCGCCCGTTGCCTATCAGGTTATGGCAATCCACTTGTTGAGTGGGAGTTCTGGATGATTGGTTTGGCAACAAGTGAGCAAAATCTGCATTGACGAGTATTGCATATCCGAGGTTGCCTATCAGGTTATGAGCATCCATTGGTAGGTCAAATGATGTCAGCCATTCTTTCATGGGGACATGTATGACACAATTTCTGTGAAACGATGTGTATGCCATACTTTGGTCCTAACACCGACACGAATGCGGTTTTGTGGGTTAGCCGACTGTGTATGTGTCATCGAATCTGCAGGTGGAACCCATCATTCCAAGCTTCTCTTCCACACCAAGTCTAACTATATAATTAGCCTGGCTTGCGGCCAATCACCCCCAAAAAGAACGGATTGAACAAAGACTTCGGGGAGAAGGCAACTCCCCTCTTAACTTTTGGCATCTCTCGGCACAGGACCTCAGAGTTTATGGCTCTTGGCTCAAGTTTGCATCCTCCACTATAGTACAGGTTCCAGAATCTTGCTGGTCTCAGACCTAACTCTAAACACATCAAAGCCGATTGATGAAACACCTGCCGATTGGATTGACTTCTTCCGCACCGTTCGTCTCTGCGTTTCGGCACACCGCTGCGAAGCTGTACAAACCGCCCCTTGGGGGTTGTGACATACTCCACAGGCAGGGTAGCAGTTCATAAGATCGTCGGATTTGGTGTGAATCTCGCAAAACTTGTGGCAGGTTTGGGTTGGGGAGCTCTTTTGAAAGCTGTAACGATGCTCTGCTTTGCCACCAACGAGAAAAGCCTTCACTGTGCAACCCCTATTAGGTTCATAGCTTTCCAAAGTGTTTTTCCGAGTGTCCACTAGATAATTAATATACTTGGAGATGTTGCGAAGGATGTTGCGACAGCTAACTTCTACTTGGCCTCCGGACAGAAGGGCGCTCAGCCAAACCGCCCAGATTGTATGGCCGATCTCCTCCGGGTCCGGGGCATGTGGCTCATAGCCAAAGCTGAAGAATAGAAAGCTGGAGGCTGACCTTTAGTCAGTCTGCCACTTCAGTCATTCCCACTGAAGTGGCTCATTTCTGGCTGTGAGACTATGAGCCTCACCAACCCTCCCCGGCCTCGCCAAAGGCGAAGAGGAGCATCGTCAAGGAAAACCTCGGGGAGCCCGACCCACCGAGCCCCGCCCCGCGAAGGCGGCGATCCAGCGCCAGCAGCAGCCGGCGGCAGCTGGAGATCACACCCCCACCCCCACCCGAGAAATCCGAGTGGTGTATACAGCGTGGAAAATTTCAGAGGAGAGAAGACGAAGAAGCTGACCTCTTCCAAATGAAATCATTAGATCGCCTTGACTCATGCCGTTGCTGTGAGCCATGAGCCTTAACATCAGCACCGCATTGGCAGCCTCACCCAGCATTTCTCTCAACCCGAAAGCATGGGGCTCTTTCTTCAACCACCAAGAGCCCAGGTGTGTGAAGCATCTCGTTTGAAGGCCTCCGCTGGGACACCGCTCCCATCCCCCAAGACGCCCAAGGCCCCTGCGTCAGCCACGAAATGAAGGTCAGGACCAAGGGAAGCCAGGGGTCGTCCTCCACAGCGACCAAAAAGCACCAGACATGTGACACACAGCAAAACCAAGGCAGGACACTTAGTCGAAGTGAATGGAAAGATCATGAAAGGGCGGCCTTTTTGGAAGACCACCTGGATCGGTGAGAGGTCCACGTCCACCATTTCCGGGCCTTCGGTGGATAGAGCTCCATGGCGGAAAAGTCCCATGGCGCGGCGTGTGCGGCGCAGCCAGGGCCGAAGGAAAGGCTGGGAACCAGGTGAGATGGGATCCATGGATGTCCATAGGAGTGAGTCGGTGTCGTGGGTGTCTCCAAAAAAGAAGGACTCCGGTGGCCCACACACCACTCCGTCGCAACTTTACCGAGAAAATGAGAGAGAGAGAGAGAAAACGCAAAAAAATGCAAAAAAAAACACAAAATTAATATAAATGGTTGCTACAGAGGGTTCTGGGGACTCTGTGCAGCTCACAAGCTCCTTTTTTGAGGCCCGCTTTTGAGGCCTCGTTTTGAGCGGCTAGCAGGGAGCAAAGCTCCAGGTCTATTTCTTTGGTGATGACGCCAGCTCCACTCCGGGCACCCTGTATTTTGTGGATCAAAAATCAAGAGATGCTGGAAGAATCTTCCTTGGCATTCCAATGCAAGTTTGTTTGGGGGTATTTGGTTTTCGCACCCCGAGTTCTTCTTAGAGGTTCTGAGCTTTAAGAAGCCTCCCTATCTGTGCAGATCGGATCTGTTCCAGAGGCTGGTGACTTGCAGAAAGTCGACACAGCCCCTAGACTTGTTGCTACTTGACGGACTTGACTCATGAAAACAGCTCGGCAAGTGTCGTGGCCCTTTACTGCATGTTTCGCCCACAAAACAGCACCTCCCCAAGGCCCAGGGCAGGTGTTTGACCCTCCGAAGTGTACCGAGCTACGTAGCCCCAGTCTTCTCTTGGTCTCATTTTCACTCAAAGCCAGGTGGGTGCTTTGAACTCAGATCGGCCGAGCCGGTCGTAGGATCGGCCTCAACTCTCAACAAGTCCAAGCTAGGAATGATCTCTGAGCGGCATAAACCAGCGAGAGAATTCTCTGTCTGCTCACGTTTGGTCGGGTTCCATGAATAATAAGTGTCTCTCATTTCATGCAGCACAACCGGGTTCTCCCGATCATTTCAAAAAATCCGTTATGTGCATTCTGGTCCCTCAAGTCCTTGTGGCACATCACATGCTAATTTGATGCTCTGCACACCAGGCTTTCGTTCTATCAAGTTGTAGCTGTTCTATGACATTCATGCCTTACTTGATACTAACACTCATGGAAACCTCATCCCCAGTTGCTGGGTTCATCTCTAGGTTAAGACCCTATACGGAGAAATCACCCAATTCGCGGCCCACTGATGGACCAAATACAAAAGCAACAGTCTCTAGCCCTGCACTTCAACCTCCTTGATCGGGGACATTCCAACAAACAACACCCCCATCTCCAGAAACATCGCATGAGCTGCCAAATCCTGAAAACGAGGAGAGATTGGTTCGATGCGACAACAACCCTCCGCAGATACACATGAGCTGGGGTCAAACAGTCAAACCTTCTTCTGACGCCCTTTTTTGCCGATCTATCGGACAACACCCCTGCTTGCTGTGCTTGCTATGCGCTTGCTTTTTGGCCGCCAGTTTCTTGGCCAATGTTGAGGCTCCAGGCCTAAGCACCATGCTCAATCGGCTGAGCAGCAGCAGCACCAGCAGCAGCAGCACCTTTCCAAAGCCCTATGAAAAGATGAGAACAGCCGGAGGGTTCACACGAAATAGACTGCACCGACATAGACAAGAGCCTCATGTCCAAGACATTCTTCGAGGCGATTCACATGGGATTCACTGTTCGATCATTTTTGGGTTCGCTATAGGACTATAGGAAGTGTAGCGATGTAATTCCTCCCACCAACCGCCAGGGCGGGAGGGCCGGAGGACCTGCGTGTTTGAACCGTCCCACTGCGTGGGGGGATCAACCAGTCCAACATGTTTTCACCCGGAGAAGCACGAGGTGTGAGAGAGAGAGAGAGAGATCCTTTTCCAGCGCCTGTTTGCCACTGTGGCACTTCCAGCACCATCAAAGAAGCAAATCATGTGGCTAATACACTTGCAGGTACTCATTTTGTGATTCCAGGGAATCGGAAGTGAAGGTCTCATTAATCATTAGAGTACCTCCTTGGCCAGTCAGGATCCATCCGAGCGAAGCTCAGGCCAAGCCACGCCCGGCTCGCGCGCAAGGCAGGCCGGAACGTTCCGGCCTGGGAGTTAGGTGAGCTCCACCGGAGCCATCCACGTGCTCGGAGCAACCACAGCAGATGGAGAACTATTCGAACCCATATACATACTTGAACAATGCAATGTATGTACTTTGATCAAACAAGTCAAAGTCTATTTTTCAGACGTTGTCTATAATGGAGACCCCACGCACAGCCTCCTGTTGAGCAACCTAACAATGGGATAGGTACTTTCATCCTGGAGGTGTACACTTTCTCAGTTGATTCAGATCAAACAGGCGTTGATGAAAGCACTGTGTCTTGGACCTCTATTGGGAATCAAAGCAGGCAAAGCAGGCAAAGCAATATGGAAGGGCGCGTGAAAACCTCAGCGGCGTTTTCGCAATGGTTTCATTGGTGATATCACGATGGAAACAGCCAGGTACGTTGTCAGGGTAGCCGGGTAGCCATGATGACTCGAATCGTAGCTGATTCACTCCGTTGGCCTTCCCAACAGCCCTCAGCAAAAAAGAGTGACATCCCTAGAAGAGAATTGGTGTATACAGTGCAGAACCTTCCCTTGAAAAAAGAACTGCATTTGCTCCGTGGGACGAACAATGTGGTTTCTTAAACAGAGAAACTGCACCAATCCCGGAATCTGAGAGTAGCTGCCCTGCTAACACCAAGCTTATGCGCAACAAAGGCCCCCTACAAGCCAGGAGGAGGGGCAGGCTGCTAGTTGCTCCAGAGTCTCCTTGCGCAAGGGTGTGAAGACTCTAGAAGGAAGCCTATGTTCAGTTTTTGCTGGGCCGGTAAGTTGATGAACAATCTGTTTTCATAGTAATAGTACCTCTACAGAGATACATGTGGATGTGACTCGAGTGGTGCTCAAACAACCTGCGTGAGTCATTCGTTGCTTTCCTGTGCGGTAAGGGTGAAAATCCACTCCATGACTCCATTTCCTGGTTTTCAAGTGAACTTAAAAGGACTCCTGTCTCATCCAAAATCCTCAAAATACCCGACGTGCAATTCTTCAATCCACCAGAGTTACCAGAGTCCCCTCCCACTCAGTCGACCTGCCATGGGGTCTGGTAGAGGGATGCCACCATTTCCGTCGCCGAGACTATACTTCCTCGGCCCACGGGGGGAGCACGGCGGTGCAGGGCGAGGGCGCCCCCACGTGGCGAGGCCCGGTCGATCACTTGGTCATTGGACCAGCGCTCTGCACGAGCAAAGCGGCTTCAAGAGCCAGTGCAACTTCATAGTTGTTCTGAATAAACCCCCTTTTCACATCCAAGGACCATAATTCATGATGTTTGATGTGGATTTGTCAAAACCTAGGGAATACAAGAAATGATTGAACCGAGATTGTTCTCCGGAATCTGGATCTGCCCAAACTCGGCAAATCCCTTGGGTTTTTCGGGTTGCGGAGGGAGATGATCTGTGATATTTTATCCCCTGGATTTGTTCCGGCTCCATCCTGAGCCCAAGCAAACGGGGGTTCCAAGCAAGCGGGCTTTGAAGGTACAGATCATATCCGTACATCTCACCCAAGCTGTACCCTTTTCAGACTTCGTTGTCTCAAAAAGAACGAACAGTCAAAAAGACTGTGGATGCGGCAAGATGGAGGCCGGAAACGCCGCTTCCACCAGTGGCACGAGGTCTCCATACCCTCGACCGTCCACCCCCCACGCCTCGCTCCAAACCCTTCGGCAAGAGCTGCCAAGCAAAGGCCGACTGCCTGACAGGCACGCAGGTACGAAAGGCACGCAAGGCAGGTAGGTACCCAGTGTCCATCCGTTCGCAAGCAAAGCACCATGTAAAAGATTCTCCAGATGTCTGACTTTTCGTATATAGATGATCAGTGGATGATCAGTGCTTGCGAATCGAGTCTTCAACGTCAGAAGAGAGACAGTTCCTCAGACCAACCCGGCTTGAACACGGTTTCTCCCATTTCTGCGGCTTTTTGCAGAGGTGGAGTGCACGACACCACACCCAAGTCGACCTGTCCACCTTTGTCCAGTGATTCCTGATCCACAAGCATCAACAGATCTTATCGCTGCTCCTGTTTTGGCATGGAACAGGCTAGCGCCACTTGCCAATGAAGAAATGACACCATGGAAATTGCTCCAAAAAAGGACTTGCAGTCTTCAAGGGCATTCTTCCGCTGCTCCACGCCGACGCATGCCTTGCCACCAGGCAGGCATTGAGCACTGCCTGAAGAGCCAACAGTTCTGAACGAAACCACCAAATCCACGAACGGCTAGATCCAAGGAAGTAGAAGAAACAATCTTTGCTCTTGCTGCAACAATCGAGTAGCTCGACTCTACAATTAGTTGTGCTTAAAAGAGCACGCACCATGTCAGAATGGCCGTCTCAATCAACCAAGCAAGTTAATGCAAAGTGGCAGGATCTGCTCCGTTCAAAGGTCTAGCAAAGACTTGACCGGTGGTGCTTGAGCGGTGACCTGCATCCATCCCGCTCTACGGAACTTTGACACTAAGAGTCCAAATGACACGACTCCACGACCTGCTTTGGGAACTCCTGGACTTCCGGACGACTGCCTTCCTGACGACCTGCGTTTAGTCTTGTGCAGCACCTGGCTGTTGGAGTCTATGATGTAGAGGGATTGGTGTTGTGCAGCTTGTCTGAGATCAATCGTTTGGCATGGCCGTGGTGTGCATTCCCAGGTTCCAGGCCCCGAACATTCGCTGGTGAAAGGCCCATTGGGCGCGCCTCCACACTTTCGGGCCGTGCTCGCTGCCCACTCTGCTCCGCCTGATTTGGTTGAAAAAGGACTTGGAAGTTTACACAGTCTCAAAGAGGGGACGGCCGGATTTGGAAGATGTTGGGTGATTCAAGGCACGAGAAGAACTGAGAGATTGGGAGTAACGAAGTCAGCACATGTTGCTTTTCAGCCTGGTGGCACTGAGGCTTGTGGGTCTGGAAGTCGAATTGTAACCATACCTTCATGGGGTTTAATCAAGTGGAAGGGTTCTGGAACAGAATTCCAGATGTTTCGACTCACAAAAAGATTCATTCCTCAAGGCCAAGCCTCAACAATCTTGGGTGCCACCTCTATAGCCATTGATACCGTAAAGGCATCGGCACAAGATTGACCGATGCTTTCGCAGTTTGATCAAGCTGGGCCAGCCAGCGGCCAAAAGTTTTTGGGCCGTTCGCAGCTGGTCTTTTGGAGTAAGCCACGCAGCCTGAGAGTCTCAAAGTGTTGTCATCATGTTGGTGGATGTAAATCTTGTTCAGATTGCAGCCCGAACTGATCCTTTTGGGGGGCTCACCACACCACCCCGACTCGCTCCTGCACACCACCCGGACTCGCTCCAGCTGGTGTTTCAAGGGGACATTGTTAACAATGCCTCCTTGTGAGTTCCGTGAAGCCTGCATCTCGGAATCTTTCCGACCCTTCAGAAATCGGAAAAGGCCTCCGCCAGCAAGGCCAAGGCCAGACCTGGTTGTTCAATGTTGTTCAAAGGTGGCGAAACAGGGAGGCTCGCCCACAAGGGGTGGATACAATAGATTGTGTATATATATATATACACTGTATATCATAGGCAAAACAAATATTGCTGAAGTATGCTCTTATGATCAGTTTGGGACGACAGCTGGAAAAAAAGACAAAAATGTACTATATCAGTGCTTTAAACATAAATATAGAGAAATGGACCTTGGTGCACACAAGATAACACCTGCCAACACGTTGAAACGAAAAACACCTCGCTGGGCATCCCAGGCTCCAATAGCTTGCGGCACTGACAGCAGAGATGCCAAAGTGGTACCTGGCCACAAACTCCGCTGGCCCATGTTGAAATGATGCTGGCCTGCACCACTTTGGCATCTAAGCGGTGGGGTGAGTTGTAGGTGAGTCCATGTCAACGACGAAGTTAAGTGGCGGCGCATGTGATTGATACGATATAGCTAGTTTGGAGTCTGCTTTGTTCAAAGCTTGACTCTCATAAACCCATGAGGCATGAGGCTGGGCATGTCTGTGAATCATTCTTCCAGTCTCAGCACAAGTCGCATGTACGATAAATCGGCATAAATCGACCCTTATGGAAAGGCTGGGGACAGGTCAGGGCCACATCAGTCTGTTGTTCCGAGCAGCAGCAGCAGCAGCAGTAGCAGCAGCGGAGTCGGAGAGGGCCCCATTGAATCTTGAAAGTGCATTCTCAGGATGTTAGTGATGTCCTAACTCCTATCACGCGGCTTGCCATTCCGCAGTATTCCCCAAGCACTTGAGGCCAACACACAAGATTGATCAAAGCCTTCTCTGCTTTCAATGATGTCCAGTCAAACATTGAACCCCCAAAAGGGAAAATAGCTACCTCGTTGAGGAGAGACCCTTCAACTGGCTCCGCAGACCCCTCAAAATCAATCGGAGCCGACGACATGTTCATCAGGAGGTTCGCCAGTGCCCACCGTGCACCCCAGGGTTTGTTGAGTGGCCCCTCAACTCATGACAGTCTCACTGCTGCAAGGAGGGCGCCAAATTGCTGTCCCGGATATCCTGGAAACCAACGAGACCATTCATCGCTCTTCAGCCAAAACGACTAAAACGTTTGGTTCTAGATTGGAGAACCCGCATGGCGCCTGCCTTGCTGTCCCTCTGTTCTCCACGAAAAAAAAGCCTTCGACCGGAGACTCGAACCCAATCTGCATGAGACTCGAGTCGTCTGGGGGAAGAAAGTGCACTCGAGTCGTCTGGGTGTCTCGGTTGACAGTGGCACCCTGTGGAAACATCTGATGTGACGCATCCGTGATCTTAGCAAGAACTGCACCTTCAACAACTGCAGCGACTCGCGCCAGCAGGAGGACCTGGGAAAAAGTGAAGAGGTGACTGGCCATCCAAACTCCGTTGCTGAGTTGGTGTGAAAAAGAAAAACACATCTGAAACGACCGCTTTTTATCCCAGCTCTAACTATCTTTCATGATAACCTGTGACAGGACCCTCATCAAGACAAGCCAGAAAAGTAGGAACAAAAATAGACATGACGGGAATAAAAGTGGAAAAACAGTCCTATACTCTCATTTTGCTTGCATTCACTTAATTTGTTTGGAGTTGACCGGTGAATCCACGTTCGGGGTCCAGCGGATCCACGGTGAACACGGTGAAGCGAAACGAAGCTCTCAACTACATCAGCTACATCATGCTACATCGATCTTAGTTGTATAAACTACAACTACAATCAACTACATCAGCTTATCCATCTCTGTATCTCTGTCAACAGCTTATCAATCTCTGTTCTCCAACACGATTCATTCTTTTCCTGATGTCTGTCATGCTCTGTCTTTGTGTTTGTGACATGAGGAGACACAGGCAATGCTTGCGGTTGGCATTGACACAAAGTTTTGCGAAGACTCCAAGTCATGTCTAAACCAGAAAGAAGGAAGAGTCCTAGCGTTCAAAGGCTTTCCAGTACCCTGACACGCGATGCACCTCTCACAGGCGCGAAGAGCTTGATTGAAGTGGTAGGCCTGATGAGAGATCAGAAGCACATCGCCATCGTCAACAAAGGAACAAACACCGTCAACGTGCCGGTGCAGAGCAGGCGGACCCTGCGACTCTCCCTCCCATGTGCTCTGGATTGTGCCCTCGAATGCCCCAAACGCCAGTTGAGGATCTACCCAGTTGATCTCCTAGTCTTCCGTTCCCGATTCTTCCACATGTCAGTCTCCCTCCAGCTGTAGTTTTCATAACATAAGTCATCGCACTTGGAGGTAATTGATAGATGATTCATAGATGCAAATCTCTGCAATTGTTTGTCTCCCGCGCGCCGGAACGACACCTCCGGCTGCGGGGTGGCTCTCAAGAGGCGCAACGCCAAGGGCCACTGCCTGTCGAATGATTTGGGCGACAGCGTGCGCCGTGCGCCTCATGGACTCATGGTGATTCACATCAGTTTGAGCCATTCAGGCTTGTGTGAGCGTTAAACTTGGCTTACTACGACTCTTTAAGACCTATCTGTGGCACGACCGGGCCATTTGTTCATCCAGGCACCACGGGGACGCTAATTCCAGCGGAGGAGAGCAGGGTGGGAGGTCCGCACGTCCAAGCGAATGCATTGGATCCTGAGCATTCTTGGAAGGTGTCAAATAACAGGGCTTCCTTCATGAATGACACCCTTTCAGTTCGGATACAAACCAAGTGCTTTCAAGACTAGTAATGAGTGAACCTTGAAAGTATTTATGACCTGCAGAGGTGGAGCCACACAACAACATGTCAAACAATGTCTCATTGCGTCAAGACGCTGTGGTTCATTCAAAGCGTTGTGGTGGACACCGGAGAAAAAAGAAAAACCGACCGATTTGAAAATCCTCTTTGCTGGAAACACGGAAACTTTCCCACACCAGAGGCCAGTCTACCATGTGCATGATCAAGGGCTGTTGGTGGTGCTTCCTCCTCAGATCAGAAGATGCCAAGCGGGTTCCTCCGCGCCCTGAATTCCAGTCGGTTGGATTAGTCTCACCCTACCTGAGCCTTGACTTCGCCTCTAAAGATGTCAGAAAGTGTCCTACTCCCCCATTTTCTGAGAGAAATCCAGCTTGGGTGGAACGCAACCCATGAAAACACTCCGAACTTTGGGGACATCCAAGCCGCCGCACCCCCTCACCAAGCCGCCGCACCGGCCCTCGGTGGCAGCTTCCAAGGTCGCTTTCAACGTCACCCCGTCCGGGCCTCCGTGACCGGTCGAAGACCCTGACCCGTGGACCCATGGTCTACCAGGTCTCGGTGTGGAGCAGAACAGTGAATGACTTAGGTGATTGAACACACACCGAGCATGAACAAAGCATTAAAAAAACAACAACAAATGATGTGTCTCCGCACACTCAGCAATGAAACATTAATATGAAGAAAACATGTCATAAACATTGTAAAGTGATTGTGGGTCACGTAAAACGGTTTTGTTGTTGAAAAAAGGACTCTTGGAACTTGGAACCCCTCTGGTTCAACCGCTGTTGGAACATTGCGGCAGAGGTCCCAACTTTTTCGTTCAAACCCAGGCACTTGCATAATACAGTCAAATCTACCAAAAGCACTGTTAGTTCATCAATTCAAATTTTGGATCAACCCCTGAACTTCCTGCAGAGATGCAAAACCCTACAGACTGATGGATTCGTTGCCTTTCGTGATTCTGTTAAGATTGCACATTGGTAGTTGATGAGGGATCCAGGCCTGTGAACGAATTTGTTCCCTTTGTTGTTGGTGTTCCTTCAACGGTTTTGTGATGTCTCAAGGACTCCCGTCAAGTGGCGGAGCGAAAACCCTGCAATCTCTTCGAAGACCAACCTCGGCAGTCAGATACATGCCTGAAGCAATGTTGAGATTTCAAGATCTACCGCGCCAATGTCGCAAAGGTAAGCAACCCCCCAAGTCACAAAGGACCCGCCCAACTACATAAGAAACAACGGCTGGCTTGCCATACCTTTGGGTACTTCTACTTGACTGTGCAGTCCAAGATGCCTGGCTTTTGCTACCCACTTGGCATCTGTAGTGGTAAAGTTTTCCAAAATCTCCGTTCGACTTACCATCGACCTTGCAGCATTTCACCAAGCCAATCTTCTTGTCAGGCTAGCCAGTGTGGGCTGACCTTTCCACCTACAAGGAAAAGGACGATCTCGCACGAAACCTCCATGCAGTCTCTAAATAGCAATCTCTTCTCGTCGCCATGGCTGTTCCTCAGTACAACGTGATTCATGATGATTCCACAAAAGGTCGGCAGCAGGCTCTTCCCAACCAGTTGTCCGCACTGCAAAAATCTCTGCCTGCAAAGGTGGTGGTCCGCTCCTATCCAGCACATCCAACCTGCTAGGCATCCTTCCTATCCATTCAGTGCCACAATTCCATGACAAGGGGTTTGAATTGTGGAGGCCTGGTGAGACTGACGTGGTTAAGCAGTGAAATGCATTTTTGGATGCAGAACCCTATCACTGGCCTATCACTCCAAAAGGTTGCTTCAGACTCAGACGCAAACACCTTGACGACAGGAAAATCGGGACAGTTCTGTATCTAGCTTGGCCACTCAGGCTCACAGTGTGCAACGCCATCAGCGCGCATCTTGATGGAGCCACACCACAGGGAAGACAGGAGCCCCGACTAGCCGCCCCATTTGTCAGCGTGATGAACTATTTCTGCGGTGAAAGAACTCGCGGCACGTCGTTCAGTTTGCCAAACTCCCAAATGAGGGGCCATCCCAGTTCTGAGTGCGTGGTCAGAGTTTCTTCCATAGCTCAAACCATGTGGGATCAAAAACCTCTTGCGGGATGTCATCGGTTCTCAGCAGTTCAACATCCAATCAATCCTCCATCATCCTCCTGTAAGTTGATCTCTTACAAATCAAACGAACTTGTCGTGGCTCTACATTCACCCCCACTGACATCAGCTTCTTGGATTCATTTTCAGATGTTCTGCGAAATAGAGGTTTGACACCCAAAAAGGGAGATGTTATGAGATGTTTTTCCGAAGGCCAAGATCTACCTTTGGCCGCCAGAAGTACGCAAGGCCAGCCCAGTATCTTGGCTCCTTCATCCACCGCCCCATGGGACGCCGGGGCTCCACGCAAGGCCTCCCGCCAGCGTTCAGACTGACCACAGACTGAGATCAACGCCTGGGCGCTCGCGCAGACGAGCCAGGCTCGTCTTCTTGCTGCTGGGTTTTTTCTTGTAGATCCTTTTTCTCAGCTGGCCTGAGCAGTCAAGTTACATATATTATATTCAAACACCCCCAAGACATCTTCCAACATTCAGGAAGGTCCTTCCCTTCGGTGGGAGAACAATCTTGCAAGCTGTTTATGGACAAGATCTTGGACCCTTCTCGAACATTCTGGAATCCTGCTACAATCAAGCCATGCAAGGTTCCTGCAACCTTCCATATTTCACTTATCATGAATGGGACGATGGCCGGCTATATAAGGGATGAGGTATGCCATCAAAGCGTGTGAAGCGACAGTTTTTGGTCGAGTAGAAACATGCCAAGAAAACCTGCGCCAACGAAGGCTCTGGGCCGTTTCCTGTCCACAAGGTCTCAAGCCCTTCCGGAGTCTTCTGGAAACCCACCTGACCCGGGCGCGGAACCTGCTGAAATCCGAAACCAAATCCATAATCCCTAAATATCCAAGTAGGCTTCAATCCCTTTGTCTTCCTGGCTCCAAATAGGGGTCGGCGGCACCTGGGCGTTAGCCCACTCCGGCGATGCCGTATGGTGTAGCTTTTCGCCTCTAGCTTTAGCTACGAGGGGTGCTCCCGATGCCGGCGACGCGACCCCCCCTTACGGTGTTTTGTGAAATCGAGCTAAAAGTATTGCGCTCTCGCCTGCATTTCGAGCCGTTTTTGCCCTTGGAGCAATTCCAAAAACGGCAAAGCGAGAAATGTAGCAAAATCCTTGAGCCTGGTTAGGGAGAGGGGGCTTACAGGGACAGCTTTAAAGCCTTTTTTCGGTTTGCGCCAAGGCGCAAAACACTGTAAATTTAAGTGCTTTCACAAATTTCGATCTAGAAAAAACATGCCGCAGCGTTGCAAAAACTGCGTAAATATCGACTTTTTGGGGGCGTGGTGCGCGAAATGCTGAAAATATTGCGCTTTTCAAGAAAACCTCGTAAATACCGTGGCTTTGAGCACTTGGTAGTTCAAAACCATCGGTATTTACGTGGTTTCCTGGCGTAAAAGCACAAAAAACTATGCAAATACCACGCGCCCAACCGGCATCGCCGGTCTGCGAAGCTCTACAATCTATCACTTACTGGAACCCTTTGGAAAGCGAAAACGGAACTTTCCGGACCAACATGAGCTCTCTACACCAGCCATGAGGTCTCCCGCCCCTGCCCCCCGTGCTCCAGCAGCACCCAAAAACCTTTGAAAACACAAAAGGACAGAAAAAGGCTTCCATTAAAAACCGAGGGAGACCCTCTGAGGTGCGGCCATCTTCCACTCATTTTCTGAGGGTGCGCGGAACCCGAGATGTTCCGAGTACTGCACCGTTGGAAGAGTTGGAAGATGTTGGAAGGACGACCCCAACGTGGGTGGGAGAGACCCTCTCCTTGACCCCCCTCTCCGCCCGCGCCGGTCGGTTTCTGAGTCGGGGCACATTCAAGGTGGAGATCGTGGGTGGCATCTGGGCCCCGTCGAATCCGTGGGATGTTCTTCACGGGTTCGAATTCGACATGTGACATGGTTCCAAGATATCCCCACGAACTTGAGGGTCAAGGGACACACGGGCAGTTGAGAATCAACCCTTTTTACTGTAGCCACATCCGGAAAAGGCCTCTTCATCGGCAATTCTGATTGGTTTAAAGCATCTTTGGGGGTATCTCAAAAGCTGTACGATCCAGCTACCCCTGGAAGATTTGGGTTGTGACTCTGAGCGAGGGACTTTAGAATCGGTGTCGGGTGTGACTGGGAGCCATGGGACCCGATCTAGTTCAGACGCCTGTCCTGGATCTAGTGTTCTTCTTGGCATGTTCTTTCAATAATGACTTGCTGTCAGCAAAACCACCGTTAGAGGCGGTTGTGCTACCGGTGAGACCCTCAGCCCTGAAGGCCAAGTACGTCACACCATGCGAGTCCGCGGACTCAGGCGAGACCGGCTTCTCTCCAAGTGGAGGGGCGAGACCGGCGAGAACCCCCCAATCTGGGTAGCTGTGAAGAATGGATGCGATGGATGGACAGTGGTCATCATCCAAGCAGAAGGGCTTTTTAAGGACTGGAAAAGAATTCAAGAAGATCCATGTGGCTGAACACACTGTCCAATAATACCTTGCAAGGTGATCTACCTTCAACTGCTGGACCTCCAACCGCTGAAGGTGATATGTGAACCATAGCAACCGAACAAAGCGATAGCGATACTTGTATACTCTCCCCCTTTCAGGTCTTTCAGTAAAGTCTCAGCACTCTCTAGTCAAGGATTCCAGGAACCAAACCACTCTCTGCATTGCCTCACAAACCTCTCAGGGCCCTCGCCAGCTCATCGCACATCTTCGCATAGAGCTCCAGCGCGTGAGTCCAGCGCCTCGCCAGCTCATCGCTCCGACAGCGGTCGAGAAGCGACGGCGAAACCCGATGCCTGACACCAAATGAAAACACCTATTGCATGATCTTGGATGTGTTGGAGAACACCTGGAAAACAAACCGTCCAAGAAATTCTGGATTCCGAAAAGGCGGAAGTCTCAAAAACGCTTGACCCACTGGCGTGTGACCCACGGATCACCTTCTTCCTTGTGCATGCCAGAATGAGGAGACCCCCAATCCAAGCATGTGGCGTTGTAAACAAAAATATCTACCTTTCGCTCTATGACTCTATAATGTGTCCAACTGCAACATGTGCAGTTTAAAGGCGTCTGCACTGCGGGCATTTGCGTGGGTGGAACTGGCAAACATGATGCCATGGCCCAGCGCCGGAAGCTGCTTTGGGCTCGCTTGCGCTATCCTTTTGATTATAATGAAATCAACGCTTGCGTGCCTGGTACAAACATCGATTGCTGTGGACAAACAATCGATACTGCAACACAACACCTCTGAGCTGAGACACAAGTGGTTCTCCATCTGCAGGGTTATTATCGTTCTTATTCATCCCTCTGGCAAAAGGAGCATGTGAAGATGACCTTCTTGGAAAACAAAAAGACTTCATCTCCGGCAGAAACGGCAGAAACGTGCTCAGTGCGCCGACTTGGCCAAACGGCATGCTGCGATCGCCGTGGTGTAGGCGGTTTGGTCTGGAATGGCTTCACGCTCCTGCGACAACCAACGTTCCCAATCGACGCGTCAGGCAGTGAGGCGTGGCTACCGCCACGACGCCCGGTGGCTGCGGGTGGTGCATGGCAAGAACCGTTTTCGCCGGGCTCGCTTTCGCCGCATCCCCAAAAAAAACATCAAAATGGCCCACAAAATCATTTATTAGGTAATATTCAAACACATCGTCACTCCACGAGTGGTTCCAAGATGCTTTAAGCCCATGGGCAAAAGCATGGAGAAGGTTCCAAAAAACGATTGGCTTGGCAGAAAACTTGGGTCTTGGGACTTATCAGATGGGGGGTGATGCTACGATGGAGCCATCAGTGTGAAGCTTCCAACTGACCTGGTCGACGAGGGCACGCTCCGTGTAACATGTGCCTGTCTCCTCGACGAAAGGCAACCCACACCAACCACAACACAGCTTGTTCAGCTGTTTCTGCATAAGATGTGATCTGATCTGAGGAATGGTCAGTTCACTATTTTCACATGTCTGAGAGTTGTTGTTGTTGTTGTTGTTGTTGTTGTCATTATTTTGATTGTGTGAGTGTCCCCAGAATCACCTCACCACCACACACGCAATACTGGAGGCTTCTCATTTGAGACCCACGTCGCGATGCCGAAACTCACTGAGAACGGTCGCCAGTCCGGCATCTCCGAAAAGAGCGTGAGCGCACTCTTCCACAAGGTCCGAGTGGACAAGAAAGAGATGAGCATCGTGTACCTCGGGAGGAAGGAGAACTGTGATTGAGGTTGTTGCAGGTTGTTGAACTATTGAGCTGTTGGTTGTTGTTGGGATTTTGGATGCGTGGCTAAGCAGGACTTTTCCGAACACGTTGAACATTCTGCTGGCCCCGGGTATGAACTTCAACCCAAACTCTTCTGAAAGCCTCAACCCAAAGAAAAAACGAGGCCGCACGCTTTGTCCAGCGGCCCCGGTGTCCAGCATTGCGGCCAGGAGGCTCCTTACAGCTCAGCTTGAAGTTGGCTCGCAGGAGCGAAATATATCCCATCGCCTGGCGGCAGCGCAGCTCTTCGCTCGCTCGAGTCGGTCTGGAGCATCCGACAGACGACCCGACCGCTGGAGACTCGTGATCGACACCCAGACTGGATGGCCATAGCATGAAGTGTCTGAGGTCGAACAGGAACTTTTGATAGTTGTGCACCAAAGTAAGGGCTCCACACGAGGGTTGGGGTGCGCAAATGTTTGTGCAAATCTCCATATGCCATCACGCGCCCTGCTTCAACGATAGTGTCAGACTGTCTCCCAAGTAAAAGTTGATCCAAAAAAAGATGTGATCAAAACTTTCGCTCCACCCTGCCACAGGAGCCTGCCCCGTGCGACGGCTTGCGCGTGTCTTCTCTTCCCGAATCGGTTCATGCTCATTTCAGGGGTCGTCGGCACTTGAATCTCCATTCAATGCCCCTATAATCCCTTCTGGCACCTTCTCACGCCCTCACCACTTCCCACCTCCGGCCCTGAAGTTGTGCCCATCGACAATTTCTTCATAGCTTCTTGCTGCGCGCAAGGAGCGGGGAGCATGTACGGCGGGGAGAGGGGCATGCACATTGGGTCTTGGAATAAATAGTGCGTGCATCTCGTGCCGCATATATACGTGCTACATTGACCAGAGTCTGCCATCCAACTCTAAAGAACTCTTATTCTCCTAGATTCTCCTAGCAAGCATTCCATGATTACACACCAAATAGGGAGAGTCCAGTAGGCCCGATTGCTTGAGCAATCCTTAAACTGTTGCTATCAAGCTTCGAACAAACCTTCCCAACCTCCCTGCCCAAAGTTCGTCCCGCCTATGACCCCACACCACAGACAAACCCTGGGCCATCCCTCTTGTCATTGACGGGCCTGCTTCTTTCATCATTTACGTAGTATATGTATCCACAATTCCTACTGTCTCATGCTAAAACACAAAGCTTAGGGCTTAGGGTCTCCATTCGGTCTCGATGCACGAGAAACCCTGTTCCACGTGTCCTATCGATCGTTCGAACGAACGAGAATTCCGCAGGGCATCACTTCGTGGCGGTTGAAAACGATGTTCACACCTTCTGACGTGCGTGTGGTGTGTGTGTGTGTGTGTTGGGTGCAGGCACACACCCTGCTTCTTCAAAGCAAACCCTCGTTCCCACTGCATGTTCACATATGACATGTATGTATATATATATATACAAATGTATCTGCATAAAATTACACAAGTACACAAGAAATATAAAATTACACAATTACACAAGAAAACACCCTCGATCTGGCCGGCTCCCACCTTCATGGTCCTCCGCTCGGAGACTTCTGTTTTGACGGGCTTCTTCTGGATTGGCCAACGAGCATCATGGGCCACCTCCTGGCGTGCTTAGGCACCGACCGGTCGGTGCTTCGGATCGGGTGTTGAGTGGCGCACCTGAGTCTTGCAGAATCTTGCAGAAGAGTGTGTTGCGGTTGCTCCCCTAAACCCTAACACTGCGGTGAAGCCGCAAGTGGAAGACCAAAACTTGGCCAAGTGGTTGCGACATGTGTTCTGCAAGGTTCGCTGTTCTGCAAGGTTCCCTGTCTATCAAAATGACACTCTCCATTTCCTACGTAGTGCGTTTTCGCGGAAATCAAGCAAAGTTCCATAGGACGCAGTCCTTATTTGCTATTTTTGCAGATCACCTGCAGTTGGCTTACGGATGTAAAGCCCCCATGCTGTTGATGTTGGGCCATTGCAACTAGTCCAGTTGGTCCCGACGGGCCAGTTCGGTGTCCTGCCGCTTCCGACGTCGTTCCAATGCAACTTTGGCATCTCTGGCTTCGCGGCCTGCGCCTCAGGTGATGAATCTCAGGGGATGAACCTCAGGCAACAGGCAACACAAAAATAATATATTACATTATACTACTTTGTAGTCTCGGAACCAGTGTTTTCTCACTAACATCCAACGCGGATTCCCTGCAACTTGCCCAGCACAGTGAGTGGCCATAACAAATTTGGAACGGAGCAAAACCGCAACATCTGCTACAAACTGCAGAATGTGCATGCCTACGCAGCAGGATTCTGTGTTTGTCTGCGTCGCACAAAAACAATTTCAGCCTCCCAGAATCCAAGGGCTCAAGCACATCAGCAACCCTCCTTTCCATCATCTCATCCCGCCTTCACAGGCGGCAATGGCCTCAAATTTTGTGGCGCAGGCACGCGTGGAGGTCCTGAACTAACTCGCCACATGAAGTACAGTAGTGCTTTTCGCGGGTCTGTGTCCTGTGACCTTCCAAGAGAGAAAACTGGTGACCTTCCAAGCAGGCGCCTCCAAATATCACCACTATCGCTTCCCCAAAGGACTGAGTAACCCTTTGGGCTTGGTCTGAGAGTCTCCCTACACGGTGCGGTCTGTGAGGCGTTCAGGCGGTATCTCAGACACAGACTGGGTGGCGAAGTGGGAAGAGAAGGGAACAGTTTCAACACGTATCCCACCTGACCATCCCCAGGTCATGCTCAGTATCCTTGTCAATTGAGATACACGTTGAATGCTTCAGAAGGGAATTCCTTGGTGCTTAGTTAGCGCCTTCTGGAGGATGCATCCCTCCCTTAACCGCACCTCCATCTTTCCATACCCCCAACCTTCCAAGTTGGTCTGAAGATTGAGATAGATTGAGTATATATAACCAAATCAACACCAAACTAGAGCAACCCGTAACCCCCAAAGGTAACTAGTGTAACCCGTAACCCCACAAATAGATTTCAAGGGCCATCTCAACCACCAATCTCAACCACACCCTCTTTCTACCTCACCAAAACCCTCCTGCCCCAATCGCCCCGCCTGGCGGAGGGTGGTGGCGTCCACCAGAAAGCCGAAGCCTCGTGAGGTGAGAACGAAAGCCGACCTGGGAGCCTCCCAACCGGGGTGGAGCCAACTGAAGAAGTTCCGCTCTTCTCTCCAAAAGAGCGGAAGCTGTAGGATAAAGATCGACAAAGAAGGACATGAAAATAGGAGAAACTCCAGTGTTGCACCTCATTCATGGCTGTTCTGCGACACATCAAAAAGCGTCTGGCATGAAGCGTTCGGGGTCCGCGATTGAAGGCCGGAGCTCGTTATTTTGATGGTTCACTGCCCCTGCCTGACCTCGGGGTTCTGCCACTGGAATGGACAAATCCTGAAAAAAAGAGAACAAACACATACAATCCACTTAAACGTCACTCAGAAACCAGAAAAAAGACTGCGCATTAATTCAAACCTCTTCAGCAGCCTACAGACAAAAACCCCGTGTTTTTTCAGAAATGTTACAGGAATGTTCCAACTTGTTGGAAAACAAAAAAGGAACATTACTGTCGCAAAAAAAGAAGGAACTGTCCCAAAAAGATGGAAGAGCTAACATATCATCCAGCTTCCATCTTTCTTCCCCAGTACCCGTACCCCCAACAGAACCCTTCGACTTGTCAGCTTTCCACATATGCCTCGCTCTCCACCCGCAACCAGCCGCCTTCAAAGTCATCCAGAAGCACAAGTGCCCAGCGCCAGGCACATCCCTTGCGACAGCTGCTCAAAGCCTTTCGAAGGCCTCGACATGACAGGGACAAAAATGGCAGAGATGGTCAATATACGACGATGTCTACGGAATTTCATGTCTAAACCCGTACAAATGTGCCGAAATGCCTTTCACAGGCTGACGTTCTGCAGATTGCGACACGTCCACAACTCATACACTTCAATCCAGGGGGGCCGAAAAGCGACTCCAGAGACTCACAAGAAAGGACCGTCAACCGACTTGAAATGTTTTCACACCCGGACAGTCTCCATGTTCACAGTAGATTGTTTCGTGTGTCGTCAAACCAAAGTGAAGGCCTTTTTTTGCAAATGACTCACCCACCAAAAAGAAGACGATGAGAATCAAACCATCTGCAGAACCATCTGCAGAGTTTGGACACAACGCTTGCACTGGTGACATCTCTTCTCGGACCCCCTGGCAGGGCACGTCCGGCAAGAGCTCCGGTACGGCATCAGCCCTGCAGTTCCGGGGATCGACAGCTGGTCATCGTTCGGTCTTTTTGCCGTGCTGTCCTGCTGTCCCACACGGAGAGGGTTGGCAACAGGGTTTTGGAAAGAAAAACAAAAGGATTGAAGAGGGTTCACCCACCAAAGTGGGCAAAGGGAAACCATGTCGAAAAACTTGAGGGAGAAATCGATGCTTACCATTTGGTGAAGATGGCCTATTAGGTTGACAAGATCACCTTCCACTTGTATCAGTTTCCATCAGTTTCCCCTGCCAGTTCATCCATCAGAATGTGTCCAAATGGGGACGTCACACATGCAAAAGACGACATCAGTTCGGAGGGAGAAGGTAGGGTGACCCTCCAAAACGGTACAAACTTTCATGCAAGACCTAAAATCTATGTCATTTAGGATCCCGGTACCAATCCTCCCGATCGGCATAACGACCTGAAAATCCGAACAACTATTTATAAAGGCTACATTGAAATAGAGACAAGTGCCCAATTCAAGGCCCCCACCCACTTCACCCTGGGGCCTATCTCCTTGCTTCCGACGAGAACCACCAACATGAAAAAAAACAACACAGACGACCCCGACGCCGACGCCGACACCGTGTCGCGACACCTCGCGGACGGTCACTCCAACCCCATGGGCACCCCTGGCATCAGTTGAATCGCCCATGGCCAGGCACCACCCTCTCCGGTCGCTCGGGGGGTGGGGCGGGTCGGGATGAGGCGGTCTGAACCGGTAGCCACATGCAATCATTCAGGGAATTTCCGCGAAAGAGATGAAGAGATGTTGGAAGAGCAAATGATATCCTGCTAGCAAATCAGGTGATGTGTACAGTATATAGATTGGATCAGGCACCTTTCCATGCAAGATCTAGAGTTTCTTCCGTATCTGCCGGCTTACTTCCATTTAAAGCGATGACTTCCCAACAACAGCATCCTCGCTCCCAATCACGCAGCAGGGTTCTTGTCTTCTTGCAGAAACTGTCATCCATTGCCCAAAAATCTCACACCTCTATTGTTTCAGGGAGCTTTCAGAAAGAGCCTCCATTAATATCGGGAGTGTTGAACATGACGATCAAATCTTTTGGGGATGGCCAAAAAGCAAGCTCTCGAAGGGTGAAGGATACTCTATCAACTCCAGGCCTTTGTATTGGGATACTCAATCACGGCCACTCACCCTCACGCCTAAAAACCAGAAGTCTTCGCCTCAACGCTCGCACGACTCCACCGCCACCCGTGCCCGGCGTGCGCCACCTCCTCGCAAGCGCTCAGCACGCCGTTCAGCGCTCGGAGGTCCACAGCCAACTGCGAGGAACCAGCGAAAGCACGCGCCGCCCCCGGTGCGACCCCAGTGGCTTACACCGTGGACCTGGATGGCCCCAAAAAAGAGACCGCTATATACAATCACCATTAAGGAAAAGTACAAGTAAGGGTAACATAGGGTGACTGGCTTCTGTCCTTCCTCATGGAGGTCATCTACTTTTGAGTGTGGAAATTCACACGGCCTGCGACGTTCCCGGGAAAGCTGGGGTCGGGAAGCTGTGCCACCCTTCTGACCGAGCGAACAACGGATGACCAGCACAAGCAAAACCACTTGGTGGTGCTTAACAATTGTGGCCCGTTTTTGATGCGCTTTGACTATCAGGGGCGCCAGCACGTGAATCATGGAGAAAAAGAAGGGAATATGGGCATTCTGAGGCTAATGAGTTTACGTGTTACCATGTGTTGCCTGTTGTTCTGCTCTTCCAGGGTATGCCTTGCCTATCCTAGCCTGGACTTCCAGGAACGAAAGCTACCTCATCAGCTCACTGCCAGCACCCTGGAGCCGGTTAGCCAGGCCCAGCCTGCTTCTCTGGCATCTCCAGGAACATTTCCACTGCCCGTCGCCACCTCAATGCAGAACGGTGCTGCGCAGAACCCAAGAAGGAAAGGTGCCGAAGAAGACGGCGAATGGGAGCACTTCGGGCACCACAACGACGCTTGCAAGCACAAAGTTTGGCGGATCTACTGCTTGAAAAACAGTCTTGGATGTGTGAAAAACTGTGTACTGATGTGTATTGAATTGTACCAAAGCTCATATATGACTGTATTCATATCGTTAGTGATGCATAGTAGGATGGAGTCTTACCGCGATACAACAAAGTTGAGTTGCCATTCATCAGGATACTTGCCCAAGTTTCATCCCGCTCGTAGTCTCATCCCGCGCCCAAAATGCATGGAAATGCCCATCTCAAACACGGACACCCGTCCAAACTCGAAATGTTGGCACGTGTTTCTTCTTCGAACACCGACCAAAATTGGACTCTAGCAGAAATCCTGCTATAGAACTCAAACATGTTTGCTGAATAACCCCTTATATCGTTTGGTCATCTACACTGTTCCACCTGTCGGATCGCGACCCCCGGGTCGGTCGCTCGCGCCGTCGCTCGCGCCCAGTGGCCAACTCTGCCGCCCCAGGGATCGGAGCACCACGGCATAGGCCTCGACCGGACGCCCGGACGCGGCACCGAAGGGAGACCGGAGCAAACACACAAAACGGGCGGGCGTTCTCGGCCAGCGCAACAGGAACGCTCGCAACGGTGGTGAAACTGGATGAAGCTGGAGGAAGGAGTTTTGCATAGTCTTTCTCTTCTACGAGTCTCGAGTCAAACCACAAGCTCTTGGACACCGGTGAAAGGTTGGGAAAATGGTCCAACCCAAGATTTCTCCAGCTTCAGACCAACGATAAAGCCCACTCTCCGATCCGTCCGCGATCCGGCCGCTCTCGGTCCACTTGGATCGTCCGCTCACCTCCGTGGAGTTGAGGTAGCGGGACTCCCAAATGGCCTCACGGCCGGGGAGCACCGAGGGGGCTGGGGTGACTGGGGACGTGGAAAACTGGAGGCGTCCGAAAAATGCCTTTCAAGGCGCAGGGGTTTCAATATATAGGCTCAATATAGTTGACTGTAGTCGAACCAGGAGATGGATTTGTGGCACTTGAGTCTGCTGGGGTTCCTTTACTCTTCACGCCATCAGCAAGGCTTCACCGGACTTGGTCCAGGAATTGGTGGAACTCAGCGTTGCAATGCAAATCTTCATCACTACCTGTGTTTTTCAACTTTTGAGTTCAGAACTGCAGCCATTGAAAAGGTTGGCCAAAGGACATCAAAGGACAAGACCATCTTGGCAACCGAAGTAGCTCGAAAACATCCCAGATCAGGTGGCTATAAAGCTGAAGAGGAAGAAAACAGCTGTCATGACACAGCAAAATGATCATCTCTCATCTCAAAAAAGTTAAAACAATTTATTAGGGTGATTGATGGAGCATCTGCTGCCGCACTTCCAGGACCAGACCAGGCTGTCTCAACTTGGAACCAGGCTGACTTTAGAGGCGACGATCTGCAAAACTATTAGTGTCAATTGGATGACTGCATCCAAATGTGGTATGTTCGAATGTTTTGTTCATCCCCGTGAGTTTGTGGGACTTCAAAAAGAAAGCTGAAATAATTCCGGTCAATTCCGTTGCAAACATGATCAACGGCATTTGTTGCAAGAACGCCGCCAGATGCAATGAGAGAACTCCCAGCTCACTGCCTTTAATTGCAATGTATATAAAGCTGTCTACAACCCTCGTGGATCTACGACCCTCCACACCACCAAAACCGTTTCCGCCACCAAACACTCGCACACTCGCTCCGATCGCCTGGGCCGGCTGCATGACTTCATGCTTCAGGCAGCGCTACATGGTTTCAAAAGAATGCCTGACGAAAATAACTGGCTGTCGCGAAACTGGCAGAGAAGACGCTTCTGATTTTTTTTTGCATTGATATTGACCTTTTTTGCAGTGTGGTCACACAATTTGCCGGTGCTTGCTTTGTTTACCTCTATATGGAACTGTAACAACTTGGTTCTATGTGACCCCGATTGCATATTGCATGATTGCTATGCAAGACGTGCGGCCAATTGGCATCATGCGGCTAATTTATGCCAAACCGAAGAAGTTTCGTTTGTTCGCTTTGTGAGCTGTCATGGACAATGAATCAAGATCCCTCAGATACGTGAGACTCAAACTCGGAAAACGCATGTTGTTTGGTTTTGAAGAACATGACATCGCAATTCGGACGAACCGTTTCATGCTCTAGACGCCCATGTTTTTCTTCTGAAAACGCGCTTTCAGGTCGGAGCCTCGCGTCGCCAAGTGAGAAGTAAATTAAGAAGCAACCCTTCTTAACGTGTTTATCTTTGGTAGCCTTTTGAATGAAAATTATGCAGGAAAGACGTATCCACAAGGAAGAAAATAGAACCATGAAAACGAATAAAATGATGAGAAGGTGGAACTAACCCGGCGATTGAAAGAAAATGTAGTGCGAACGGAAATATCAGATAATGAAAACAAACCTCTTCTAAGATTAAAGTATATTGGCAATGAGTTCACAAAAGCACGGTTTGAATGAATTATTCCATCATTGGAAGTGTTGGATTCAATAGAATGTCAATCTCTATCTTCTACCGTAGTCGCCGTAGTCGCTCTTTCATTGAGGTTCTACTTTATGGTTTACTGTTCTTTGCGTTTGTCAATTTTTTTGGTTCCATCCGAAACTTAATGTCACCTCATTCATTCTCTCGATATTTCCACAGCAAGTGACATAAAGTTCACAGAGTTGCAGCGGAATCTTTTCGCAGGGGAATTTCAACTCTGAGCAAAATGGCCCTTCTGGCCGAACGGCTGGGACAGCAGAAGCTGTGGCACTGCCACTTGAGTCTTTGTTCACGACTCACCACCACTGAGAAGGTCTGTAAAAAGATTTTGGCGCGAGCGCCAAGATGAAGTGGCTGGACGGTGTCTCTGCCAATCTTACGGGCATTCGAGCGCAATCCGCAATGAGTTCGATCTGAGAATCATCCGCAGCATCTTGAACAGTGCTCACACGAATCTTGCTCTATGTTAGGTAACGAAAGCCCAACCTCGCGCCTGCTTTGGGACTCAAGCGCTGCGGACGTACGAGTAGTTTTCAACTAGCAACTGCATCTTCTATACATGCTAGTCCATCCTACAAACTCTGACACCCCGCCTAAAATTGAAACGGCGAGATTTTCGAGTCTTTCGATTTTCCATTCCTGTACATTCCATCACCATCTCCTAGGTGACCACAGACTAAGGTCGGAATGTAAATTTCTATGAAACTTGTTCAATCATTCTATCGTGACCTGAATTCGTTCGTTGTGTCCAGTTGTCGTGACATGCATTCACACATATTCCTTCTCTGGCTCAGCGGTTACATCTCCATCTCGAAGTGCACGGGTACACGTCACACGCCGTCGTACACTCTCATTCTGCGCCGCTGAAATCTGCTCTTCTTGCTCCGGCTCTGGAACTTCAAATCTCTTGCTTCCACTTGGTCTGGGCTCTTCACTCGATGAAGCCACTGTCTCTTCTTTCACAGCTTGATTTGTACCGTTCTTTTCTTCTTCTGCTTCTTCTTCTTCGTCTTCACTTGTCGAAGCACCATGATGTACTGCCATCCAAAGATCTGGATCGCTTGCCTCACTCAAACTGCACCACCTGTAGCGGATTTTCTTGTCTTCTTCCGGTTCATCACCAGACACTTCAAGCTCTTCCTGATTGCCTGAAGCTCCACTGTAACCATCTGATGCACTGCCGCTGCCACTCGACCGTGGGAATGTCTCTAGACTTCCAAGCGACAAATCATTAATCAACTGACGAATTGCTCTTCGAGATTCCGGCTTCTCATACCGAACTGCCATGCTCACCAACGCTATCACCATGCGTCTCTTCTCTTGTAAATCAAATTGCACTGCATAATCTTCATGCCTCTTTCGAAGCTCATTCTCGATCCAATTCAAACCAAGTCTCAAATCTTGCTCGATTGATCCTTCTGCAAATGGTTCCGGTTCATCTGCCTCTACGGGGATAGGTTCCCGCCTGCGTTCATTCTCCAGCTTCGTACGAGGAAAATCACTGATGAAACGAATGCCACACAAATGCCTGCCACGAAGAATAAAGAAATGATTCCACTCACTTCTCTTTCAGACTGATTGCAACCTTGAAGTCCTAAACCAATGGTCATCAATGTACCAAGGTTGCACCGGTTGAATCTTCGTGCAAATGCTGTTTGTACTGTTTGGATCATCAATTTGCTATTGCAATGCTCGAAAAACTCTCTAGATCCAATCCTTGTTTCGATTTCAAAATCTTCATTCAATAAGACCGTTTGCAAGAAAAATAAGAGGAAATGTCTTCGACTTACACTGAGTTTCTTCATGTTGAGATCTGCAATGTTGAGTTTCGTGGATATGGGTTTGATGCCAACAGAACCATTCTGTATGAGTTTCTTCAACCGTCCAACTCCACTACGTTGCAACCATTGCCTTGCCGAAAATGAATCAGCTCGAATGCAAATCCTGGCAACGTCTTTCACCAAGAACTCCCAAACCTGTTTCACCAAAAGTGTTTCGCTCAATCCTCCTGTCAACGCCAACAGCTCGGCTTCGCAAGATGAAAGCGCTATGCTTTTTTGGGTTTTAGGGTGACTGTGCATTACAATGCTGTTCAAACAAAGTATACCCGATGAGGCTCTTGCGGGAATGTGCACAGCCCAATCTGAATCTGTGAACAATTCAAACAGGTGTGTTCTACCACTGCTTTCCTGTTCTTCTCCTGAAACATTGTTCAATTTCCATGTCATCGAATTTCCTGGGGCTTCATAGCCCATGAGAAAGGTGAGATTCCTTGTTCCCTTCAAATACAAAATCAGATGAACCAAACAATGCTCTGCATTCACCGTTGGCCGAAAGCCAAGACGCCAAAGACTTGATCGCAAATTGGCAATCGATTCGCTCTTGAGCAATATACATCAATGTTCCCAAACCACTGCGAAAGGATTTTCTTCGCTCTGGATCAACGTCTTCGAGGCTCTCACTGCAATCCACTTGTCCCAACAGCGATGATCCGGTGTTGCTTTGGGTCGTTTGTTTTCTAGATTGTATAGCTTGATCAATGCATCAAAGTACTTTTCATTGGGTTTCAGGAGTAAATTTGTATTTTTTTTTCAAATATCCGATTTCTTCTCCAGCTCCTACACTGCCCAAAGGACCGGACCTTCAACCTGAAGCTTGTACCTCCGTCTCGGAGATCTTTCACAGGGGAGCCTCCGACACATAGGACACCGGGCCCTTGGTGCATGCAGCCCTCTCATGTGCCCTGGTGGCTCCACTACCTGCCCCCAAATGGAAGTAACTGGATGGTTCCACCAAGTTACCGATGTTTGAAGACATTTCGTCAGCTCGCTGATGCCTCGACAACCGCTTGGGCCTGCAGTGCTGTCGGCAGGCTCTGTGGGCACTTTTGCAACTCCGATATCTTCGGGAACGTATGTGGTCCCGCAAGGTCATGGGCGATTTGCCATCCGCTGCTCAAGGCTGGCTACAGCATCAGGCAACTTTGACAAAGGCAATGCCCATGGAGAAAGCATCTCGCCACGCAAAGAGCTGACAAGACTGGATAGAGAGGCACTGTACCATCACTTTCATTATGGTTGCCCCCATTGCCACGAGGATGATCGTCAATTTCAAAAATATGGCAATCAGTGGTGCTCAGAAGAGGAGCGCGGTTATGCTGTTGGCTCACGCGACAACCCCGCTTTCCGCGGCAAAGTTGAACGTTATCGAAAGGCATTGCGGGAGAAGATCACGGGCAAAAGAGAAGAAAGCCCCAGCCGACACAAAGCCGGACGCATTGCATCTGACCCTAGTCCATGCATCCCCTGTCCGCAACGCTGTCTCCTCCCCTCTTTGTGCCCTAGAGTCAAGTCGCCAAGCTACGAGGGGTTGTTCTGGTGGCATCCGTAAAGAGGATTTAGTTGCTAGACACACCAGCTGTTACTAGTTTTTTGCACGGGTAGAGGCGCCGTATGTGCCGAAAGGCACAAGTCACCTTGATTGAATTACACAGGAAAACTAAGGAGATACAAGCAACAAAACAAAAACCAACCAAACCCAAACACAAAACACCGAAAGGCTAGGTTCGTGTCTGAAGAGCCATCCAAGCCGAAGCAAAAGTTGAGTGAGAACGAGGTGAGACGGGGCCATGAATTCTTTCTTCTATTTGCGCTCAGCACTTGATGGTCAGGAAGTAGCGAAATTCCTATCTGCGGGCAGTGAGCACTTGTGTCGCAAAGTTGATGCTGCAACAAGTATCCACGCATGAGCAGGAATTGTGGCACGTTTGCGAGCATGGCCACATTGCTTTTTCCAGGTTTCCGATGCAGGAAAATTTACGGAGAGCACAAATTTTTTTTCCACGAGTACGGACGCCGTGTGGGCATGGTGTCCAGGTCATCATTGAAGGAAGGGAAAAACAGTTAGATGGTGGAGAAAGGAACAAAGACAACCCAACAACAAAAACCAACCGCCAACATTTACGGAGAGCACAAATTGATTGAGCACAGTCGACTATGCACCGAGGGCTTGCCATTGGAAAAGGGGGACATAGGGCAATCGAGCGCCAAGCGAACGAAAGCCTTGACCTGTAGAGGACTCAGAACAAGTTGGACCAAGACGAGCGGTCCCTCATCCTTGGCATGCGCCCCCAAAGGCGGGAAGGCGGTGACAAGAGTGCGCTCCATGACAAACATAAATGTTGGCACTGTTGCACTGCAGTCTTCCGCATGGTCGGTGTCTCCTTCTGAGCGTCATCCGGAAGTCATCCCTCTTCGTGCCAGAATGGCAGCAAGCACAGCTTCCACAGTC